CCTGCTTTCTGGGTCGGAACGTACCTACGGCCTGCTCACCTGGAGACTCTGCCTGGCCTGGGTCCACCACCATGACGACCGAGCCCTCACAAGTGCACCAGAGCTACCAGCGGGAGTTTGAGGCTGCCATCAACCAGCAGATCAACATGGAGCTGTATGCTGCCTACGTGTACCTTTCCATGGCCTACCATTTCGACCGTGAAGACGTGGCCCTGAAGAACTTCGCCACCTATTTTCTGGGTCACTTGCGCCAGGAACAAGAGCACGCAGAGATGCTGCTGAGGCTGCAGAACCAGCGCAGGGGCCACATCCAGCTGCACGACATCAGGAAGCCAGACCTGGATGACTGGGGCAGTGGGCTCAACGCCATCGAGTATGCCTTCCACCTGGAGCAGACCATCAACCAGAGTCTAGTGGACCTGCACAAGATGGCCATGGAAAAGGATGAGCTGCAGCTGTGTGACTTCCTGGAGCGCCACTTTCTGCTCGAGCAGGTGAGGATCATCAAGGAGCTGGGCTACCACGTGAACAAGCTGTGCCAGCTGAGGGCCTCGGGTGGCGGCCCAGAAGAGTACATCTTCAACAGTTTCACCCTGAGCGACAGTGACGAGGAGAACTGAGACTTAGCCAAGTAAACATGGTCCCGGGTGACTTTCATGGTCCCTGGGGCAGTGCAAGCATGCTGCAGTTACAACAAGTTCATTTCTCTTTCTTCTTTCTTCCAACATTTCTTCCAGTAAAGTAATTTGGTACCAGAGTTAAATATATGAAGGTCTCCTGGTCATTCTTGTTGTGTAATACTCCCAACTTTTAAGAACAGGGCAAATCCCCCTGCAAATGTCTAGGGCCCTCCCCTGTGGGTGGGGGTGAAAGGAATGAGATTGGGCAGTGACAGAATTAAAGAAGATCAATAACGTAGTCTAAAATTTTTACTTTCTTAAAATACTCAAAAGTTACCATTTCCTAGGGATAAGGGGAAGTGGGTCTTAGGCAGGCTTTCCTATGAGGGGGTGGAGAATGTAATAAAAATGCCACAACCTCAGGCAGCTCTGCATCTCCAGGGATGGAGGGAGGGAAAAGGTACTTCAGATGAGGTTGGTAAACACAGAATTAATCTTCCCCTTATGAATAAACAAGGTGGGTAGATGGTGTATGAGGTTGGTCGAATGGGTGGATTGGGATGGGGTGGTGCCTGCGTGAGGGTGCATGCATGACCTGGAATTCATGATAGTGGGAGTCTGGGGGGTGGTGAAAGGAATGGGCCTGGGCAGTGAAGGAATTGAAGAAGATCAATAACATAGTCTAAAATTTTTACGTCATTAAAATATTCAAAAGTTAAATTTCCTAATAATAAAGGGAAGTGAGCCTTAGGCAGGCTTCTATGAGGGGGTGGACAAAATAAAATAATAAAACTACTCATCATATTTAAGTCAATTCCAACTCATAGGAGCCCCATGGGACATTCACAGGGCTTCCAATATTGTAATCTTTTTTTTTTTTTCTGTTTTTTTTTTTTAATTGTGCTTTGGTTACACATTTACAGTGCAATATTTGTTTTGCATTCCACAGTTCATGTACATGCAGTCCTGTCTGCTGCCTCTCAGTGCCCCATGGCCGATTGCTCTAAGGGCTGTATCTCCCTAGAGTAGGTGGGTGCATGGCGCTGGGTTGGCTGTTCTGCATGTAAGTCTTTCTACTGTTGGGCTGAGAGCCGATCCTTGAGAGTGAGTTCAATCCTATGCCCAAAGGGTATTCTGGAGCCCCACAGTCTTGGGGGTCCCACCAGACTTCATCCGACCAGTAATTCTGGTCATTTTTGTGTAAGACTGTAATCTTTGGGGAAACCCACTGCCACATCTTTCTCCCTTTGATTGTCTGGTGGGTTCTTATCCATAGCACCTCCAGGGCTCCTAAAAATAATGTCCAAGTCCTTTTGGATGTCTAAGTCCTTTTATTTACATTACTGTAGTTTTATTTTTACAAGACTGCAGGAGGTAGGAAGAGCAAGTATTATGATCATGTCTTTGCCAGGGAGAAAAGGGGAAGTCACACAGGTAATGAGTAGGGGCATGGAGTTAGATTTTCTGATATCAGATTCCATTCTCTTTCTGTTACCAAATCCCCAGACTTTCAGACAGCCCTGATCACTGTAGGCTCTCCCCTAAATACAGGTGTACCTTCCAGCCTAGGGTGGGGATGGTCACCCAGCTCAAACCTCAGCTCAAACCTTTCCCATATGAAAGAAGCCTTCAGAATTAGCCATGAAATGGAAGCAAGGCACTTCAAGGAAAGCGTTGACACTTGTTCACCTGGAGCCTTCTGGTCAGGCTCTCTCCCTGACACAGACAGCAACTCCCTAACCTGAGTTGGCAATGACTGCCTGGAAAGACCTCAAGGCCAGAAATCCCCAGGGAGAAAACACCTTCTATCCAGACATCTTCACTGTGAGTGGCTTTTCTTGAGGCAGAGTAGGGAAAGAGGTGGTCCCAGAACACTCGCAGGCTGACCTGCAAACCCACTTCATCCCAAGGCCTGGACAGAGAATCCCTGTGTTTTTGCTGCGCACAGAGCACTATAGTCTATATCCTGAGGCATTGCTGGTTGTGATGTCCGTAGAAGCTTCTCAAACTGACCCCAATCTGATTCTGCCTGGATCACTGGGCCCCCCTCTTCCTCTCATTTTCCCTTTTCAATGATCCAGAGGAAGTTTCCAGGATAATGGAGAGAAGGACACTTAGACCCCCATCCTTTTATTTTACCCAGAAAAGAGTTTCCTCACCTGCAAGACTACACCTGAGTTGCAATGACACTCTGGCACCTATGACAATCCTCTACTTACAGTGCCCTCATCCCCAGACTTTTTTTAAGAATCCCTGGCAGAGAAATCTAGATACAGGGTCAGCTGTATACTTTGTCTCCTTTGTGTTCCTATGAAACAAAAACCATGGCTCTTCTAAATCCCCTTCTTTTAGGTCAGTTTTGAACAAGTGGAGCAGTGGTAGAGGAAGTAAAAAACACTTAGACTCATTGTGGTTACCTCAGTTGCACTTTTCATTGGCTTAGCTTTGTCCATCACTCCCCCCATTCACCGCCCCCCCCAAAAAAACCTGTTGCCTTCCAGTCAATTCTAACTCATGGCAACCCCATGTGTTACACAGCAAAAATGCTCCATAGAGTTTTCTTGGCTATGATCTTTGTGGAAGGAGCCCTCGTGGTTCAATTGTTAAGTTCATGTTTGCTAACCAAAAGGTGAATAGTTTAAACCCTCCAGCAGCTATGCAGGACATGAAACCTAGCAATCTGCTTCCATAAAGATCACACCTTAGGAAATCCTATTGGGCAGTTCTACTCTGTCATGGTTGCTATGGGTTGGAGTGGACTTGACGGCACATAACAGCGTTCTTTATGGCAGCAGATTGCCAGGTCTTTCTTCCACGCCCCTACTAGGTGAGTTTGAACTGCCAACTATTAGGGTAGTAGCTGAGCATCCATTGCCCCCAGTCTCCTCATTTTCCCACCCTTCCCTACAGTATACTTCTCAAACAGGGAGAATACATTTCTTGAGAGTGTGTCCTCTCTTTGTGCTCTGCCCACATCCTTACAGCCTTTCCAACTCCTTGATAACCTAAGCTAACTTTCAGTACTTGCGAGTTGGTTGTGACTTAGTCTCCCAGCTCTGGAAAATTCCACCCTGAGACGCACAGCTGGATGATTATCTGGTACTGGCTGTACTCTGTTGCTTAGGGAACAATGTCTGACACAGTGGTTGTTGCTCAGCCTTATCCACACAGTAGAATGGTTATAAGGTGACCAAATCATCAGAGAGGAATGCACTCTTTTGAGCAGTAAACCATATGAGATCCAAAGGGCAGCATTTACCCAGAGACAAAGTTCTGAAGCCAGAAAGAGATAGGAAAGAAGGACCTATTATGCATAACAACAGTCATCTAATTTGTCTTCTACTCTGTATACGTTTTTAGGCATGTTTAATAGTGTGTTTATACCATGTGTTAGGGTTCCTAATTTTTACCCTATTTTTTTTTTTTTTTTTAATGATCTTTATGGTTTTAGGTTTTACATTCAGGTCTTTGATCCATCTTGAGTTAGTTTTTGTGTAGGATGTGAGATATGAATCCTGTTTCTTTTTTCTCTAAACGGATATCCACTTTTGCCAGGCCTATAGTCAGAAGACCAAGGCCCGTGCCTCCCCGCTCCGAGTCGGGGAGGGCCTTGTCCAGCCCAGTCGGGCTAGCATCCAACGCTTGGGTGATGGCGGGGTGGGGGGTGGATGGGAAGCCCTGGGTGCGCGTGCCAAGCGGTCCTGCCACCCAGCGAGGCTCGGTTTGGAGCAAGGGGCCCGTGTTCTGCACGCTGCTCCGCCCCATACCCCCATCCCATCACGGTGGTGTGCAGCTCTCTGCCACCTCTCCTTCTCAGGCCATGGCTGGCCACCAATGCTGGTGGCGTGCTGGTGCGGGGCTGCTTCGTCTGGGAGCGTTCCTGGCGACGTGCCCCTGGACTGCAGGGATGCATGGGATGGCGGCCCTCCCTTGGCGTGGGTTGAGCCTGCCGTGCCCTAGGTCGCGCGTGGACCCCGGTAGCAGGGCCCGGGCCCCTATTTTTAGGGGTATGCTGAGGCCAGGTGGCGTTAAGGAGCCGCCCTTGTGTTGTGATGTCTGTGGGAGTGAGACCACGTGTGCATTCTTCTGTTGACCCGCTGCGTCCATGCTTCTGGGGCCAGGCCCGGCCGTTCCCCAAGTCTGCCCTGGAGGTGCCCGCCAGGGCCATTATTCCTCCTCGCTGCCCTAATCGGCTGGCAGACTGTGCTGCGTGGGCCCCACCATTCTGGAACCGGAGCTGGTCTCGCCATATTGGGTATCGCCCTCAGCCCCCACCCCAGGCTGTTGGTGTTCCCTGGCGATGCGCCTTGGGACCAGAGCCGGAACGTCGTGTGCGTTGGTTCTGGACAACGGCACGGAGCGTGGGATCCGCGGCCGTGGTGCTGTAGGTGGATGTGTGGGTGCTGTGGGTGTGTGTCACGCGGAGGTCCGAGTCCTTCCCCCTCCCCCCGGCGTACCCCTACCCCCCCTCCAAGCTCGCCCCCTTTCTGGCACCTGTCCTGCTCTCCCCTGCTGCCGGCCCTCCTCTCTCTGCTTTGCCTCCTGGGGCCCTTGCCGTGGTGGGTCAGCCCTCCCTTCGCGCCCTACGAGCTCGTGGTCGCGTGGCTTCCCCATCGCCTACCACCCAGCCCGTGCCAAGCACGCCCAGGCCAGAACTCACAGCCTCTCTAGGAGCTCTGGTAGAGTAGTGTCTAAGGCTTTTGACTGCTCACCAGAAGGCTGAAGGTTCAAATCTGCCAGCCACTCCTGGGAAAGAAGATTGGGTAATCTACTTCTGTAGTGATACCTCCTGGGAAACCCAAGGAGGGGTCGCTGTGAGCTGGATCCCACTTGATGGCAGTGAGTTTGTTGGTAGTCAAAAGACTTTCTTCACCATTTAATGGGGTTTGATCCTTTGCTAAAGATCAGCTGACCATAAGTGGATGGATTTGCTTCTGGGTTCTCAATTTTGTTCTGTTGGTCTAAGTGTTTGCCATTGTACCAATACCAGGCTGTTTTGA